AATTATTATTTTAGAATAAACGTGCTCGCAGAGAACGTCTCTGTTTGGGAACCACAGTAAAACAAGCCTGGAGGACACTGCAGGCTGTGAAACTGAGCCTAAAGCTCACCCGTGTGGAGAGACTGCACCATGCAAAAGCAGGAATCAAAATCTCCTCCACTGTTCTTTGTCCCCCTCTAGTGGCGGAGGGTCAAAAGTACAGGAGAATTTCATAAATGATGCCTTTACAGCAGCGGTCACCAGTCCTGGTCCTGGAGATCTACCTTCCTGCAGAGTCTAATTCCAACCACAACGTGCTGCACCTGCTTCAGGTAATTAACCTCTTCAGAAGCCTCTGACTGGCTGGATCAGATGCATTAGTGTGCGGTAAGGGATAAGTGGGCGGGGCACGTTAGAGGCAGGTTGAAATTAAACTCTACAGGAGAGTTTCTTCAGGATGAGGCTGGTTATCACCACCTTATAGCTCACAGAATATGAAGAAGTGATCAATTTCAAAAATGTAAGGTTTATATCAGACTATATTCGCACCAGTTAGCTTCCTGCAATTATGACCTTCACTATTTTTTTTATGTCTATGTATTTACACACACATACACAGTGCTGTGAAAAAATATTTGCCCCTCACCGAATTTCTTGTATTTTTGCGCACTATTTGTCACGTTTAAATGTTTCAGATCATCCAACTAATTTTAATATAACATAAAGACAACATGAGTAAACATAATTTAGTTTATAAATGATCATTCCATTTTAATTTCAAAACCTATGTCACCCATGTAAAAAGTAACTGCCCCATCTAATAACTGGCCATGCCTGTCTTGGCAGTACCAGCTGCAATCAAACGTTTGTGATGACTTGCGGTAAGTTTTTTGCATCACTGTGGAGGAATTTTGACCCACTTTTCTTTGCAGAATTGTTTTAATTTGGCTACATTGAAGTGGTTTTCGAGTCTGAACTGCCCTTTTAAGGTCTTGCCACAGCATCTCAAAGGGATCCAAGTCAGGACTTTGACCTGGCTAGTGACAGTGAACCCAACAGTCAACTGAATTTGGTTAACTGGATTTAGTAACTAAGGGGGCAATTACTTTTTCACACCGGGCCAAGTAGGGCTGAACAGCATTTTTCTTTCAATAAATGAAATCATTTGAAAAAAGCATTTTGTGTTTACTGTTTACTTGGGTTGTCTTTGTCTAATATTAAAAAAAATGATGATCTGAAACATTCAAGTGTGGCAAACGTGCAAAAAAACAGAAGATGCTGGGAAGGGGGCAAAAACTTTTTCACAGCAGTGGGTGCATACACCGATCAGGCATAACATTCTGACCACCTCCTTGTTTCTACGCTCACTGTCCATTTTATCAGCTCCACTTACTATATAGGTGCACTTTGTAGTTCTACAGTTACAGACTGTAGTCCATCTGTTTCTCTGATACTTTGTTAGCCCCCTTTTACCCTGTTCGTCAGTGGTCAGGACCCCCATGGACCCTCACAGAGCAGGTACTATTTGGGTGGTGGATCATTCTTAGCACTGCAGTAACACTGACATGGTGGTGGTGGTGTGTTAGTGTGTGTTGTGCTGGTACGAGTGGATCAGACACAGCAGTGCTGCTGGAGTTTGTCCACTATATTATACACTCCTACCTTGTCATCACAGGACGCTGCCCACAGGACGCTGCCCACTGGACGCTGTTGGCTGGATATTTTTGGTTGGTGGACTATTCTCAGTCCAGCAGTGACACTGAGGTGTTTAAAAACTCCAGCAGCACTGCTGTGTCTGATCCACTCAGACCAGCACAACACACACTAACACACCACCACCACAGTGGTCAGTGTTACTGCAGTGCTGAGAATGACCCACCACCCAAATAGTACCTGCTCTGTGAGGGTCCATGGGGGTCCTGACCACTGAAGAACAGGGTAAACCTATATAGTAAGTGGAGCTGATAAAATGGACAATGAGCGTAGAAACAAGGAGGTGGTCATAATGTTATGCCTGATCGGTGTTTATATGTATATATTAGGATTTTAGAAGTTGTGTAGTGTACGCCTTTAGCCTGAAGAGGGCAGAAATTCACTTAGTGTCATGATGTGAGCAGATTTCTAAGGAAAAAGACAAAACTTTCTTAAAATGAAGGATAAAAGTCGTCACATACAACATAGGCAAGTCTGAGCTTTCCACAGAAGAACGTCCAGTAAACGGACAGGCTGAATTTCATATCTTACAGGTGCCAGAATGAAACTGCTGCAGCATTTAAGGTGGAACACTCTAATATGAAGCTTGTGAACAAGAACCAACTTCAGCCTCATGACAAAGCAACCTCTACCCTGAGGAGCCAGTTCACACTGCAAGGCATTCATCAGAACGAGCCGACGTCACTGAAGCTCATCACGGTACATTACTAAGGTCAGTCAGTGGGATGATCTAAGCCGCGTCAGTGTCTGTTCATCAGAAGTATTTAGTGGCTCTAAACTAGAACACGGCCACAGATAAGTCCATTTATCGATTTCTAGAAGGCCCGTCATAATTATTTCATACTCGCCTAATTACATTTATTTACGCTGTCGGCCATCATTTTCCACAGTTGTTCCATTTCATATTATGCTGCAGTGAGCAGGGTGTGAAACGGGGGCGTCGGGTCGAGGCTAATAAATGTACATTAAAGAAAGCAGTAAACGCCTTCGCTCAGACACATCATCACAGAGATCATGCAAATCTCTAATGTGGTGCTCCAGCGTTTACAGGGCAACAGTGGGTGATGTTCTAACATTTTTAGGGGTTCAAAAGGCTGAAAGCACTAGAAAAAAAAATAATATTTTGGATTCCTTCCTAATTTCATAGAAAGATTTGAATTACAAATTATGTTATCAGCAAGAAGAATTTCAGAATGTCTTAGTATTTGGTGAGGTGTCCCTTTCGCTTCAATGAAAGTGTGCACTCGAGATTCAACGGGTGTGTGGAAAAGCCTCGACACACCTGTGAGTCATCTGACCATGAGCTTCACTGGAAGAGACGAAATAAAAAACAATCTGACCCGTTTGTACAAAGATTTATTTGAAGGTCTGGTGTTTATAATTACTTTACTGTTATTTTTTATTCTTATTTTTTACTGTAATTTTCACTTTTATTACTATTTATAATTGTACTTCTTACTTTTAATTATGTTTATTACCTTTACCTGCAACACAATTCCAGTAGTATCGCTTAGCTGCTGCTGTTACGTGCACATCTATCCATCCATCCATCCACCTATCTACCCATCCATCCACCTATCTACCCATCCATCCATCCACCTATCTATCCATCCATCCATCTACCTATCCATCCATCCATCCATCTACCTATCTATCCATCATCTATCTCTCCATCCATCCATCCTCCTATCTATCCATCCATCTACCCATCTACCCATCCATCCATCCACCTATCTATCCATCCATCCATCCAGCCAGCCAGTCATCCATCCATCTACCCATCTACCCATCCATCCATCCACCTATCTATCCATCCATCCATCCAGCCAGCCAGTCATCCATCCATCTACCTTTCCATCCATCCATCTACCTTTCCATCCATCCATCCACCTATCTATCCATCCATCCACCTATCCATCCATCCATCTACCTATCCATCCATCTATCCATCTACCTATCCATCCATCTATCCATCTACCTATCTATCCATCATCTATCTCTCCATCCATCTATCCACCTATCTATCCATCCATCTACCTATCTATCCATCCATCTACCTATCTATACATCCATCCATCCATCCATCCACCTATCTATCCATCCATCTATCCATCTACCTATCCATCCATCCATCTACCTATCCATCCATCCATCTACCTATCCATCCATCCATCTATTGATCTACCTATCCATCCATCCATCCATCCATCCATCCATCTATTGATCTACCTATCCATCCATCCATCCATCCATCCATCCATCTACCTATCCATCCATCTACCTATCCATCCATCTACCTATCTATCCTATCCATCCATCCATCTACCTATCTATCCATCCATCTATCCATCTACCTATCCATCTATCCACCTATCTATCCATCCATCTATCCATCTACCTATCCATCTACCTATCCATCTATCCATCTACCTATCCATCCATCCATCTACCTATCCATCCATCCATCTATTGATCTACCTATCCATCCATCCAACCATCCATTCATCCATCTGCCTACCTACCTATCTATCCATCCATCCATCCATCCATCATCTATCCATCCATCTACCTATCCATCCATCTACCTATCCATCCATTCATCCATCCATCTACCTATCTATCCTATCCATCCATCCATCTACCTATCTACCTATCTATCTACTTATCTATCCATCCATCACTCAGAAGTGGTATGAAATGGCCCTGGGCTTTGCTCCCCCCTCTGGCGCGAACAGAACCTGTCCAGAATGTGGTTCTGTGAAATACCCATGGTTTTGAATGGTCATGATGTACTGATTTCCCAAACTGTCGACCAAGCCCTGGATATTATGCAACGATAAGACAGTGAAGATAAAAAACAGGTAGCTATCGTCCTGATCAATCGGTCAACAAAAGCATTTGTGAACGGAGAATTTAACGGCTGCAGCAGGAAACCAAAAAACTAAAAAACAGCCTTGTTGGGAAATGGTTGTGAAAGGCTGGTGGTGAACGTTGTGAAAGCAGCCTCGACAGTCTCTGTAACCAGGATCACCACAAAGGCATTTTCTTTCTGCCTAAGTCACTCCTTCCTGTGACAGACAATGGAGTGTAAAAGGTCCTCGCGAGCCTTAACATCCGGACGCAGCCCGTCCGGTCTGATCCCGGTCAAACGCGGGGTAGCACAGAAGCCACGGAAAAGTTTAATCATTTAACTGGCAACAAACAAAACCGATACATGCATGTTGACAGACTGAAGGGCAATCCAGTGAAGAAACACGAACACTAACAGTAGACAAACACCAGCAGAAGGTCAGAGCTGGGTTACTCACGCGGCTTCTGGCCCCATACGTGCAGGTGCAGCTTCCCAGACGAGTAGTAGATGAACACCAGGACCAGCATGGGACACAGAACAAACAGTAGTTTGTGTGTGGCCTTCATGATCCTCAGTCATTTACATGGTACCATCTGTTGCTTCACCTACAGCAGACAGAACAGGAACACAAGAACACAAAGAGTTTATAGCGCAGCTGTAGCACAATGAAGGTGTTATTCCACCGGGCGGTGACGTACAGGTATAAACTGATATAAAATGATTCATTAGTTGTCAATTAAATTCAAAAGTAATTCTTGTGAAGTAACTGATTTTATACACTAAACAGCAGCTCAATTTGACAATTCGATTCAAATCAATTTTTGTAAACTGATTTTTGTAAACACCGATTCGATTTAAGTGGTCAATTCAGCGATTCAATTCAGCTGATCAAAAACGATTCTTGTAAATTGAGCGATTTGGTTGAGCCGGTCAATTCAGCGGTTCCGAAATGCTTCCAGTGAATTGAGAAAGAGCCAATTCAAGACGTTAAACAGTGATTCAGCCAGTCGATTCACTGTTTAAAAAAAAAAAATAAGAAAGAACTGATTCTTTACACTAAACAGCAATTACATTTGGCCATCTGATTCAGCGATTCAATTCAGAAGTTCAAAAACGATTTTCTGAATTAAGAAAGATCCGATTAAATACAAAACTCAACAGTGATTCAATTCAGTCACTGTTAAGTAAAAAACTACATTTTTGTGAGGATTAGGTTTTGGGTTGTTTAAGGGTAGAATTTGATTCAGTGGTTCAAAAACTGAGAAAGATCTGATTCGATACACTAAAGAGTGATTCGATTCAAGGGGTTAATTCAGCAATTGATTCAGCTGATCAAAAACAATTCTTGTGAATTGAGATAGATCCCATATGATTCAATACAAACAGCAGTTGATTCAGCCAGTCAATTCAGCGGTCCTGAAAGACTTCCAGTGAATTGAGGAAGAGCCAGTTCAGTACACTAAACAGTGATTCAATTCGGCCAGAGACCAAAATAGTAATTTGACTGACTCAGTTAATTCAGTGGTTCCAAAATGCTTCTAGTGAACTGAGAAAGAGCCGATTCAGTACACTTAACAGTGATTCAGCCAGTCGATTCACCATTTCAAAAAAGAAAGAAGTGATTCTTTACACTAAACAGCGATTCCATTTGGCCATTCGATTCAGTGATTCAATTCAGCAGTTCAAAAACGTTGTTGAATTGAGAAAGATCCGATTCAGTACAAACACATTAAACAGCGATTCGATTCAGACACTGTTAAGTCAAGTAAAAAATGCCTGTATTTTGGATAACATTTCTGTAAGGATTAAGTTTTGGGTTGAGATTAAGGTTAAAATCAGGAACATTAAAGAGCCCATTTTACATTTTTGTATTTGGTCAACTTTTAGCATTTGTGTGGTTTTATGTACTAAACATTGTCAAAACTGTCTGGATGTTACTGTGCCTCAAAACCTGATGTATGTAAATAAGCTCCTGACTTTAGTGTGAGTGGGCGGGGCTACACTGCAGACTTTAAATGCAGATGCACAAAGGTAAAAGCAAAAACAATAAATTTGATAAATGAGTTTCCATATATGGACTGTGTTTACTGGGGAGTGAACAGCGTGTATTGAAACTTTAACACAGATACTACATTAAACTCTTATTTCAAAAAAAGTATTCAGTTATTCAGTTTTTCATGATATGGGCTCTATACATTACATTTACATTACATATCGCTGTTGTTGGAAGAAAACCTTTTATCTTCAAAATGGTAACTTTACAGGAGAAGGAAAAACCTACTTTACTTTTAATGTAAGTCAATGGAACCAGACGTCTTTTTAAGTCATTTTGGGCCGTTTCTTTTGGTCCATTCACCATGAAAGTTACACACAATGTAAAGACCAACAGGCATTTTCAGATTGTGTCAAAAACTGGAAAACTATATATATATATATATACATATATACACACATACACACATTTTTTTTTCAGTACCTCTAGGGGGCTACACACAAGATTTTCACTCACCTTTGCACCTGTATAAATGTGATGACACACATGATTTGATTTATTTGAATTCAAGTTCAAAGTAATAAGCGCAGACGAAGCATTTACAGTTGGCCAAACATATAAAGTGTTACATTTTGCAATCAGTCAATTTCTGATTTTTTAGGCAGTACACAAATCTAACAAGCTCACTGAGGCATTTTACAGTTTTACACTGATACATTTTGTGATGTTTCTAGTCCATCAGCTGATCAGTGAAAGCTCCAACGTCCACTGGGTCATGCTGAGTTTCCGATAAGGCTGCCATGGTGTTTCAGTCATAGATACACAATGAACAGTTCAGTGGACTGCTGAGTTTAAGATAAGGCTGGATGATCAATGACGACCTCTGGTCCCTTTATGATGAAATTCAGCATGTTTTTAAAACACTATTGAGACAGAATTAGCTGTATGTGAGGAGATGGGGTAACGTAATTCAGTTTCTCGGTGATGTTACTCCAGTCCGAATCCGCCACGTCAGTCATTTTAACAGACTGTGTTTCCCCACATCTGTAAATATATTCCAGCGGCTTTGACCGACTATAAAACGAACCGTAGGAATAATCTGTTCTCATAGGATCCATTTCATAATTCATTTCATAATTCGTTAGAAAATTCGGACATGATGTGTTTACTGCTACTTCATGGATGTATCCATTAAGACACATTTAGCCAGCTATCCAGTCCGGTCTAAATTATACTAACAAACTAACATGTTGTCACTGTGGCGCAAACTTTGTATTTCTATTTTCATAATTTTTCAGTTCTAATATTCCAGTTACCCTTTGAATTGTGTCCAAATTTCATGAACAGACCAACAGAAACAGTCCAAAAAGACATGGAAAATCATCTTTTTACTTTAACTTCCATTCTAAGTTGAGTGTTTTTTCTTCTCTTGTAAAGTAACCTTTTTGTAGATAGTGACTGTGATAATCAGCGCACTCAATAATCCAATCATAATCAGATTTCTGCAGTTATCTGATTATTCAAATGGTCATGCAAACAGCACACTCTGATTTCTTAGATCAGGGTAAGGTCTAGAAATACGATCAAGAAATCTGATGAAAAGGCTGGACTTCAGCTCAGTAATCAGATTCTCAGTGCATGTGAACTCTTACTCTGATTTCTTTCGGATTTCTCAGTCTGAGCATGTGCGGAAACAGACGGCGGTACCGGAAATAAGCGAGCAGCGTCGCCGCGACACACAGCAAAACACTTTTGGAGCGATGCTGAAACCAAATACATGCTTGAGGAAATGAAGGATTTAAATATTCTTCATCTTCTAGATGATGTTTGTTCATATTTTCAGGTAAAGTGGCGCGATGTTCACAAAAAAAGCTGCGTGAAGTTTTGAGTTTTACGTTACATTTACGTTGCGTCTTCTTCTGTGAGTTTACTGGCTGGTTGTAAAGCAGAAATCCGATTACTGACTCATGTAGACCTGGAGTTTCCCCATTACTCCCATGCATGTAAAATTACTGAGAAAATCTCAATGTGCTGGAGCCTATCCCAGCGGTCACTGGGCGGAAGGCAGGAAACACCCTGGACAGGTGCTGCTTATACAGCAAGATGAAAATGAAATCAGACACCTCTGGTTATTTCCCTCGTTATTCAGTCATCGTTATCGTAAGACCCATGACCTGCTTCCATAAATGCATTTATACTTTCTTTCATTATTTCACCTTACATTGGGAGCATTTAGAGGGTATGAGAGCAGCATTTAATGGTGTATAGCGCCACCTGCTGCTTGCCTCAGGCAATGCATGTGCGTTTTGGCAAAGGGTAGTCAGTCAGAAAGAAAGAAAGAAAGAAAGGGAGGGAGACAGAAAAAGAAAGGGAGAAAGAAAGAAAGGAAGGGAGAAAGAAAGGAAAGGAGAAAGAAGAAAGAAAGAAAGAAAGAAAGAAAGAATAAAGAAAGGATAAAGAAAGAAAGAAAGAAAGAAAGAAAGGGAGGGAGACAGAAAAAGAAAAGGAGAAAGAAAGAAAGGAAGGGAGAAAGAAAGGAAAGGAGAAAGAAAAAAGAAAGAAAGAAAGAAAAGAAAGAAAGAAAGAAAGAAAGAAAGAAAGGAAGGGATAAAGAAAGAAAGAAAGAAAGAAAGAAAGGAGGAAAGAAAGAAGGAAGAAAGGGAGAAAGAAAGAATAAAGAAAGAAAGGCAGATAAATAGACGGGTAAACAGATTTGTACTTCATCAAAGCACATTACAATAATGGTGATAATCCTATCACTACCAAAATACTATAAAAATAAGAGTACAGTGATTTTTACTAAACGTTTCACACACCGGCGCTAAATCCAACTGAACAGGACTAATTATGGTGATCACGCAGTTGGTCAGTGCTCCTTAAGTACTGACCGTATCCACTACACGCTCAGAAAAGCGTACTGTGACATAACGTGATGTAATTCATCACGATAACAATAAATACAGTCATATTACCCACCTCTGTGTTCAGGTGCTTTGTGGAGAGGTAATGAAACAGCGTCATCCACAGAGCGGACAGAGCAGTAAGACCTGCACTGGTCTGCTTTATACAGGCAAAGACCAGGTGCAGGATAATGACCGAGGTCACAGCCACTGGCTGATGATCAGCCAGACAGGCTGAGGGTGTTTCCTTAGCCACAGACTCAATTGTGGATTTCCTACCGACAGTCAGGATGACTGTGCTGGAGTATGACGTTAGAAATGTCTGAGAACCACAGGAGCCTGATGATCTGCACAAAGGACAGCTGTTCTAGGAGATGTTTAATGCGGAACCACCATGTAACGTTCATTCCACCTGCTAAAAGGGGCCAGTATCTTACATTTCTATATTATTATTATTATCATTATTATTATTACTAATATATATTATATATTATTATTTTATATTATTTTACCTTCTATCCTTTAGAACTAAACAGGCTGTTTTTGCTACCGTGCCTTTAAGACTGATATGTAAATGAGTTCTATTCTGATTGGCTGACCTGTATTTTGCCTTATTTAATACGCAGTCCAGGCTGGAACACTGACATAACTCCTTAACAGTGTGAGTGGGCGGAGCTAAACTGCTGTGATCTAAGTAGACAAACATAAATGTGTTGCTCACCAAAAACAACTCACAGCTTCCACACATAGGTTAGATATACGGACTGTACAGCCTGAAGACTGAATAATCTGTTTACAGTTTAACGAGCCGTTTGTATCACTCGTTACTCGGTCATCGTTATCGTAAGACCCATGATGTGCTTCCATAAATGCATTTTCTACTTTCTTCTATTACTTGTTAACCTCATACTGGTAGCATTCAGAAGGTATGAGAGCAGCATTTAATGGTGTATAGCGCCACCTGCTGCCTGTCTTGAGCAATGCATGTGAGTTTTGGCAATGGGTCAGTCAGTCAGTGACACAGCATTTCCTAGGCCCACTGGGTGATCCAGCAAGAAGGCAGGAAGGCAGGAAGGCAGGAAGGAAGGAAGAAAGAAAGAAAGAAAGAAAGAAAGAAAGAAAGAAAGAAAAAGAAAAGAAAAAGAACGGCAGGAAGAAAGAAAGGAAGGAAGAAAGAAAGCCAAAAAGAAAGAAAGAAAAAGAAAGGAAGGAAGAAAGAAAGAAAGAAAGAAAGAAAGCAAGCAAGAAAGAAAGAAAGAAAATAGGCAGAAAGAAAGAAAGAAAAAGAAAAGAAAAAGAACGGCAGAAAGAAAGAAAGAAAGAAAGAAGGAAAGAAGAAGAAAGAAGGAAGGCAGAAAGAAAGAAAAGAAAGAAAGAAGAAGAAAGGATGGAAGGCAGAAAGGCAGGAAGGAAGAAAGAAAGAAAGAAGAAAGGATGGAAGGCAGAAAGGCAGGAAGGAAGGAAGAAAGAAAGAAAGAAAGAAAGAAAGAAAGGAAGGCAGAAAGGCAGGAAGGAAGGAAGAAAGAAAGAAAGAAAGAAAGAAAGAAAGGCAGAAAGAAAGAAAGAAAGAAAGAAAGAAGGCAGAAAGAAAGAAAGAAAGAAAGAAAGAAACAAGGAAGGAAGAAAGAATGAAAGAAAGAAAAAGAAAAGAAAAAGAACGGCAGAAAGAAAGAAAGAAGGAAAGAAGGAAGAAAGGAAGGAAGGCAGAAAGGCAGGAAGGAAGAAAGAAAGGAAGAAAGAAAGAAAGAAAGGAAGAAAGAAAGAAGATAGATAGATAGATAGATAGATTAGTACTTTATTACCGTTATTTTAATGTGCTTTAATAATTCTATCACTACTAAACTACTATAAATAATAAGAGCACACACTGTAAATTTGGCTCGTCTGTCCGGCCTAAAAAATGACCTCACTTTTACCAACTGTGGCGTTTTAAGGCCACCGTTAAAAAATTAAAATAAAAGACTTCAAGAATGAAGTCGTACTTTCTAGAATAAAATCATAGTATTTTCAGAAAAAAGTCGTAATATTTAGAGAATAAATTTGTAGAATTACGACATTAAAGTGTGATATTACCAGGAAAAACTGCAATACTGTGGCCAAAGGGTTTGCAAAAGGAAGGCGGCACCTCCTCGTGCTAAAATGAGGGACGTTGAGAAGATGGTGGAGTTACACTACGTAGTTTCTGATGGTTTCCCCAAAACTTACACCGCCCACTCACTTAGAGTTAAAACTAGTTTGTGGTGCAACTCGTTTTATTTAGTGATGCAGAAACGTGAACTAGCCTATCGCTGCTGTCGGAACAAAACCTCGTATCTCCCAATTCACAACTTTACAGGAGAAGCAAAAAACCTACCTTACTTTTAATGCAAGTCAATGGAACCAGACTTCTTTCCAAGTCATTCTGGGTCGTTTCTTTTGGTCCATTCATCATGAAATTCACACACAAAGCAAAGAGCAGCAGGCATTTTCAGATTATGTGAAAAACTGAAAAACGCCAAAAATGGAGATAGGAGGTTTTGTCCTGACAGCAGCGATATGTTTAAACTTACCCACAGATGGTGCAACCGGCCACTGGCCCCTGACTTCTTCTACTCTCGAGCTCAGAGCTACACTGCGCACTGCAGATGTCTCAAAATGTGCAACACTGCAAAAGCTGATAAGCATTTTCAAAGTGACAGTTCAGCAAAAAAATCAAACTGACAATTTCGCCATTATAACAAACTCAGGCGATCAGCCAAGACATACCTGGTGTCTCAAGTCTTTTCCACACACTCACTGCTTTCCAGCTAAAAGGTACGAGGCGACACGAGTATCACTAGGCTGGTAACATTAGCAGCCTGTTTAACACGTCTACAGTTCGCCTTAAGGTCCAATTAACACCAGCGTTCTGTTCCTTTTATGAGCAGGAAGTTTGTTTCAAAGGAAATCATCCACAATGTCCTCGACCAGTGGTGCTACTGATTTGACCTTTTATGGGGCAGGGACTTCACACAGCAGCACTGAACATCCAAAACGGAGGAAATGCGAATTCTAGCCGTGTCTAAACATGACCCTTTTAAGGGGAACTCCACCCAAAAGTAAACTTTTCTGCACAATTCAGTGCTGGAAACGTAAACAAATGGTCGTTCAGAGTGGTTTGGTGTGAAATGGTTTATCGTAGAGACTCCGATTCCTTTGCAGTGGTGGTGATAGGAACCAGGGCGTCGCCATGACTACAACACAAATATGGACGTTTTATTTACCATCCGAAACCACCAGTGAACCTACAGGAGTCTTGTGAGTTTATATACTGATGATGGTAAAAGAGCGGCTGCACATACTTCTGACGTGAATGTAAAAAAACGACAAAACAAAACATTTGAGGCCTTCAAGGACCCCTTAAAACAGCGTCTCAGTCATCAGGCAGTGAATTCATAACCGTATCCTGTAGTGACTTTCTGTGAGGGAGCTTTAAGAGGTGGACGTCTGGTTCCTATCACCACCACTGTGAACAGTTCTGACTCTGTAAGTTTCTCTAGAACGGAGCGCTTCACACCAAACCACTCTGAATGACTCCGTTTACATCTTAACCACTTACTTCTTCAGAAACGATCAACCTGCTCTGTAACGTCTTCACCACCGACTATAATAAAAGACAGACTGCACTATATTTTCTAGCTTGCTTACTGCTAAGTGCTAATGCATAATTAGTCCACACTGCTGCTGCCACCCACGTCTCTCTTTTCTTGGATACGCTTACAACTGATACAGCAATCTGCTCTCACGAGTAGATAATTATCTGCTATCATCCCTTTTATGCAGTTATCTATCTTGCTAACTGCACTAAAATGGAGGATTTTTGTCGCCAATCCGGTTCAGTTTCACAGCTCTCAAAAATGCCTTCCAGATGCAAAATTTGACTAAAATGCCTATCCTTAGTTTTTAACTACACTCTCAGAAATAAAGGTACTAAACTGTCACTGGGGTGGGACCCTCAAGGGTTCATCTCAGTACCTTCAGTCAGGGAACATAACTGAACCATAATCCACTGAAATGATATGTTCTAAGCTGTACTGACTCCACACACCCCGTCTCGTCTCCAGGCTTTTATTTTACTGTTCTGTTTAAAACATTCGGTTATGAAAAGGTACAAATACGAACTTTTCACCTGGAAACACTTATTTAAGGTTCACAATCAGACCTTAAAACCACTGTTGGAGCTTTGAGGGAACATTTACACTGTTTGTACCTTGATGAACAGAAATGCACCTGCACAGAAACTTTATTTCTAAAGGGGTATGCAAAATACGTGTTCGCCCAACAGCTAGTTTCTATACTCATCCACCAGCCCACACATGAAAAAGAGTTTAGTAAGGAACCCTTAGAACTATTAGTTCTTTATAGAAACGTGCATGATTAAATGTTTTTTTTTGCATGGTGAAATCGCTCTTAAGATTGATGGAGAATGTGTCCCATCTACGACATAGAATGACTCTATGGCCCAATCCCATTTCCTATTTTTACCCCTACCCCTTGTTTTCGAGTGTTGCCCCTTGGAACTGAGTTATAAGGGGTACTGGTTGAAATCTTCCCTCTGAAATGGGACCCTCAGATAAAAAGAGCATCACTTCATTAACAGCTACCAGCGCTGCTCTGTAGGCGACCCTGCCAGTCTGCAGTGACAGCAGAGGAGGGTAAAGTTCAGCTCCTCACTGCTGGGCTTTAGTTACATTTAGGGCATCATATGCCTTCAAAGAGGGGGGCAATTATTTATTATCACCCACCCCTAATTCTTCAGTGATATGAAGCTGAAGGCAGATATTCACCAGATTCTTGTTCTAATTTTCCCGTTCCACCTTAAATGGTGCAGCAGTTACATTCTGGCACTTTAGGCGTCAGAACTGCTGGACTATTTAAGGTGGAACGGGGAATTTAGCTAACTAGCTACTGAGACATCAGCATACTATCAGCGATTTTTCATGCTTGTTACTAAGAAAATGACACATGAAAATGATACAATAATACAATAATACACTGAAACGACATTAAACTAAGATAATTCAGTGATTATTGTAACTTTTAACTGAGAAAATTCTCACATTTGGGGGTTTCTTTGGTCTCTTGTTCAGCCACCTTACAGGTTTTTCTTTCTCTCTCATATCACTCTCCTTGGAGCCTGGTGAAAAATCTCAGTTTGGAGGGTCATGTAGCCCCAACACTTCGCCCTACCCCCTCTATCTCAACAAGAATCGGGACACCCTACCCCCAGACGTGAACACGCAAAACGGAGGGGTAGGGCTAAGTGGTAGGGGCGAAGGGTTAAATGGGACTGGGCCTATATAGCACCAGAAAAGGTTCTGCTATAGTTACAGTGTCAAGAACCTTTTTTACAACACAAACATATTCTCCATCAATCTGAAGAACCACTTCACCATGCAAAGAACCCTTGAAGAACCATCTTTTTCTCAACTTTCAAAACAGAGGGCCCAAAATATTACAGAACTGTTCAAATACCTTGATGGACTTAGTCGATGTGTGATGTTTTTGGAGAAGAACCATATCTAACGCCTTCCAGCGAACACTCCCTGTCTGGCACTGCCATTCTCTCCCTCCTCACCTCCTCCTTGTTCTCCTTCACTCCTGCATTCCACTGTGGGATCTTCAGCAAGGAGGACCACCTGAACCTAAACCTAAAAAAGCTCGAGCTCTCTGAACTCTATCCTCCTCCTTCTTTCTCTTCGGCTTTCACTCCTCAAAACTCATGTGATTAATTGTGGGCACAGCCCTGCACTCCCTTCAGGTCTCATGTTTTGCATATTAATTGAACACATGCTTGAGGCAAACAATAAAAACAGACTTTACTGAGCAATAAAAAGCCACATAGAGCCTTTCACAGACGCTACAATACTTTTTTTGTTAAAAGACAAACAAAAAAAATTAAAATGTTAAAAAAAAAACGTGAGAGGGCATTAGGAAATTTTTAAACTAATTCCTGCTGATTTATCGGAAAGTTTAATTTTCAGATTAGAGCTGGGCGATACGGCCAAAAATGTGACAATAAACAAAATTCGTATCGTTCGATATCGATACATACAGCGATAAATGTCAAATCATTATTTCTTTCAAGTTTGAAGGCTGATTTTTGCTCCTGGGTGGTTCATTGCTGTTTTAAACTGTCCTTTATAGTCGGAACACGACAAACACTCAGCAAACAGTGGAACATTTCACAGATCTGTCATGGGAGAGTGGGGGAAAGTGTCTGCTGAGCTGTTTTTACCAGCTGGAAAAGCACGGCTGTTTTGTAATAGTCATAATTTAAGAAAGAAAACAGATTATTTTAGCTGGTGCCGAGCGCTCGGCTACCCCGCTACACATGACATCACAGTATTCAGACACCAGCTAGACGACTGGATTTCTCTATACTATCGTAGTAGTTTAAGGGGTGAACCGCAAAATATCAACACCAGACAAACAGAGTCCTCTTTTAGGTACGTTTAAACTGAAAGCGGTAATTTTGTGTTGTGTTTGATCTACAGTATCATCAGTTCTCCGTGCTGTGTGAGTGACGGAGCTGCTTCAGGTTAGCCAGCTGCTAAAAACAGCTAGCCTGGAAAGCTGTTAGCGCTCTCCCGCTCTCCACTGCCTCACAGCTTCCTCAGTTTACTGTTGTTTAAATCAGGGCTGTAATTTACAAGAACTCACTTCTTTCTTTCACTTTCGTTGCTTGGGAATGCACTAATACTGAAATATGACTGAGCGCTGTAACAGCGCTTTAGTTGTGAGGATTGTGATTTAACGCTGCTAAAGCTGGTTAGGATGTTAGGAAAGAGGTGAGTTCACTGTAGGTCAGTACAGTTACACCACTGACCTCGTCACTCACACTCGGTCACAGGAGAACAGATCGCCGGTCGCTCCGCTCAAACAGGGCATATATAGCTCCACTTTTCAGCCCCTCCCTCTCTAAATCATGTCGAAAAACTCAGAAGTGCGCCCTCTCCTGGTGACAGCAGAGTAGTGTCGCTTTCCTTGCAGTAGAAACGCCACGAAGGCTTTCGCTGAACGTGGAAGTGTGAGAGTGGTGTATTATATCGAACATTTATCGAACATGCTGTATCGCTCTATCGAGGAAAAAGTTATATCATGATAATTATCGTTATCGTTTCATCGCCCAGGACCTACCTCAGATTAAATGTAATCAAGCAATTAACTCTTATTCTCCAGGGTATATTTTGGTTTTTCCATCTGAATTTACATGACCAAATCGTAAGGCAAATTATTCAGTAACTGCATGAAAAAATGTAAATTTTTATTTTATTTTTTATATAAAAACTCCCCTCAAATTAACAGAACGTGTTTTATGATACACATATTACTATATGCCTACAATTTACTGCTGAAAGCCAAAAATCTCAGATGCTTTTTGTATTATTTTATTAAAATAATGTTTACAGAGCAGATCACTGAAGAGACGCCATCTGTTTATAGTTTATAGCCCAGATTTATGGAAAAATGGGTCGACTTTCAGTAGAAAAGAAAATTGAGTTGAGCTTCTTTTATTATAAGGGTTTAAAATAACATCACCCATCTATTTGACTGGAAAGAAGACAGTTACAGCTCTCATACGACCCTCACCTTTAGAATGAAGCTTATGAAATATGAAAGTTATGAAGAATATGACGAAGTGCGTTTTGGAACCACCGGTGGTCCCAAGGAGTTGAAAAAGGTTAAGACCGCCTCAACAAAGCTCCGTTTCAATATTGACAGTATTGCGATGACGTCACAATCACGCTGCCACCATTTTGGTAGGCAACTTCAAGTTCACTCAGCAGTGCTGTGGCTGTTTGTAATGAGATAACAAAGCCAGAACCGATCCAGCAAAGGCAGTAAAACACGTTTCTATAAACACTTTATAAATAGCATTTCTAAAGCATATTAACTGACATATCTGAGGGTATTTGTCAGGTTCGGACAGAACTCGGACGTTCACAGACCAGACTGAAGTACAAAGGCTTTATCAGCAAAAGGGGAATCCAAAATCAAACTGTCCAAAGTCAAAAGCCGGATCGAGAAACAATGACCACAGGGGCAATCCAAATAAACAGAGTCCATAAACCAAAAGAGAAAGTCCAGACCAGAAATACAAACAATAGACAAAGGGCCGGGCTAAGGCGAGGTCACGCGCAGAAAGCCAAACTAATGCACTTCGCAAAGAGCTGACAAACTGAGGAGGTTTACATAGTGTGTTAAACAGGTGACCTGAATCAATAAAAGGTGAAGTGGAGCGGTGGGGAGTCACATGAGGGGGGTCTGAGGTCATCTCAGTCCAGAGGCTGACAAGTGGTGACAGCGGGGCCGAAGGGAAGCGTGACAGTACTGCCTTGCTTTCGTTTGATTTGTTGCTGTAGTGATTAACAAATGAAAGCTAAAATCTAAACGGCTGAGATTTCCCACTGTCGCGTGCCAAACCGCACACTAAATAGTATGCGAAAAGTAGTGCATATACCGTTATATAAAATAACTCATTAGTGCAGTAGGTGAAGTGCAGAAATGTGTGGTTTGGGATGCTGCATTAGATCAGCCAGTGAGAGGCGATCAACAGCTGCTCTGCTGTGCTGCTCGTTAGCTGCTCATTAAACAGCGAAGTGTTCGTTGATGAAAGAGAATTTATGAAGGTAAATTAGTGCATTTACTGAGGTTAGTTAATGACTTTATGGAGGTAAATTAAAACATTTATTGAGGTAAATTGATGAATTTATTGAGGTAAGTTAACACATTTATCAGGATAAGCTGACGTTGCTTCGTATCGCAAACTTTTAAAATTCGTTCTACGTTTAAGGTGCCTCAGTGTAACTGCAGCACCATTTAAGGTGAAACAGAAAATTTAAATGAGAAGCTGGTGAATAAGTAGCTCACTTCAGCTCACGTATGAGTATCATAGGTTTCTCTCTAACCTATTGGTAACCAGCAAAGATACTTTCTCTGGATAGACAAAGCACTTTTTGTAAGTCACTCTGGATAAGAGCGTCTGCTAAATGCTGTAAATGTAAATGTAAATATATTATCTAAGAGCTATGGCAGTTCTGGTAGCCACTGGAATGTTCTGAACTCTGGAGATGTGCAGGTTATACAGATCCACCAATCAGGCTAGTCTTCTCCTCGTAGCTCTTTCTGGAGACGCATCTAAACCATCTACATATCCGCTCGTGTTTTCGTGGTCACTCTGGTCTATTTTGCTCGGTGTTTATCCTCCTGCAGGGCTGTATCTGCAGTAATGGTGAGGAGTCGAGCTCTGTCAGAGCAGAGATGCGGCTCGCCTACCAACACGGCGACGTGGTCTCCTTAATGATGTAATCGAATACTATAAATAGCTGTTTTCCTTTCCCACTTTACTTGCATATTCATTGTTTGCTTTGTCCTTCTTTCTCTTTGTTTTTCCACATCCACTTCTTTTCTGTGGGCCAGAGAAGCTCAGCATAACACTATTCAGCAAACCATCGAGGCCAACTGAGCTCGGAAACGTCAGGTGTTTTATGCTCTTCAGTTATACCATCGACAGCTGAGTGAGGTTATGCCCAAAGAGGCCAGAGGTATATGCAAATTAGCTGTGCCCATGTCTCTCTACACAAGATCATTAACCAGTCATAGCACCGTGTACACATGTCGACGACTGCTGCTCTGCATTTTGAGCACTTTTATCAGCGTTTTTGACAATGAGTCGCTGTTCCTTAGCTCTGCTCCTACTGGACAGGCTTGGTTGTTTTTGCCTAAGTTATCAGGTTATCACGCACCCCCCCCGCCGCCCCCACCAAAAACCCCCCGCCCCCACCAAAAACCCCCCGCCCCCACCCAAATCTCGCAGAAGGCTGCAATGTGCAGTATGCAAAAGAGCCCTCTGACCAAAAACAACGTTCCTCACTGTGTGCCGCCGGTGCCCTGAGAAACAATCTAACCTCATTCTAATGTGAAAAGCGCTGTATAAATAAACTTTGACTCGACTAATCACAGTTACAGATGAGTTTATGAATCAATACACTGCAAAAAATAGTAGCTTGACAAGTGAAATTATCTTTATTCTAGTTGATCTGCCTAATATGTCTGATTTTGAAGTGGTTGTGCTTTTATTGTAAGATTATCTAGCTTATTTATAGATTCTTTTTACGTGTTTTAAGTTATTTTATCATTTGGCAGATAATTTTGCTGGTTTCAAGCACATTTCTTACAACAAGCAAAATTCTCTGCTAGTATAGTGAGATAAATTTACTTAATAAAATCACTTAAAACTGTTTGGAAATAAGTTAAATACCAGATTTAAGATCATTTTACTTGACAAGATACCATTTCTTGCAGTGTACGTTCATATCCAGCAGAAGGAAATTATTTTGGCCAAAATAATGCATATTAAAAGATTGCAAGCAATAACACAGACACAATATGTAGCACTACAATTATAATACTAGTATTTTATGATACAAAATTGTAAAAGAAACTGAAGTTATTGTAAATATCATGATTGCCCCAGTCACAGAAAGAGGAAAAACATATGCAGAGGAACACCATTTTAGATCTGAGGGTGTCAAAATAAGAGTGCTGTAAAATGACCGTAAATTCCAAGTTAACCCTCCAAGACACAGGTTTGACCAAAGCTGTGTATTATTTGGTTGGATTGGTGCACAGATCAATCGCAGCGTAGCTCGGTACAAAGCTTTCCTTTTAGATTGAGTCAAGCTTCTAACAATAGAA